GAAGAGGCTTGGAATCAATCAGTCCAATGGACTAATGCAACATGGCAGTCAGTTGCCATGACTCTGAGACTAAAAGAACTAGATGGTGCTCAGCTACCACTACCAACTGCTCTGAAACGGATCACATCAAAATTAATAATAAAAAGAAAAAAAAAATGGTTAAGTTTACTGGTCAGAAAGAGAGACTATGGAGGAACACGAGACTCTGGCTCTTGGACACCCTTCAAGTCTGGAAAGTAACTCATCCTTGTGGCCCAATTTTCAGCCAAGCAGTATATATGGTATATGGGGCAAGGGGGATAGGCAACAACACTAGTAAGATATATTCATCATAGAATGGTCATTCATTCAAATTCAAAAGGGCAATAGTTTCCTAAGGACAAAGTTGAAAAGGAATGGGAAGGTGGGTGGAATGGAAATAGGAATCACAGGGAGGAAGTGGCATAACTGTTGTTGCATGGAGGGGATTGCAATCGTTGAGATGAAACAAAGTATATGGAATGAAAAATTGATGACTATAAACTTTCACTCAATTTACAATAAAAAGTTAAAAAAAATTAAGACTATGGTGATATAGTACAACTCTGAATATACTAATCCATTATAGCCCATAATTAAGACAATTTCAATATGTGAATTCTTCTAGTGGTGCTCCATTTGAATTCTAAAGTAGGAAACACTTTAGCTAATTTTCAGTTAAATTTCGGAGTGATTTGTGCCAAAATGAGTGAGCATTTGCCATCGTATAAAGTGCTATTAATGTATGCCATTGAGTTGGTTTTGACCTAAGCGACTCTGTATAGTAGGGTTTCCAAAGCTATGAATCTTTAAGGAAAGAGAAAGTCTCATCATTCTCTCATGGGGTGGCTGGTGGATTTGAACTGCTGATCAATGCATAACTCACTATACTACCAGAGATCCTGCATAAATCGTATAGGCCATGAATTCCACAGTTTAGTCCTTTCTGCCTTTGAAAGGAGCATTTTACCTTTGACACAGTTAAAGGACTCTTCACTAATCCCTGGAGCTGCAGGTTTTGCTGTCTGCTACTGTGTCTGTGCTCCTCACCAGATATTGACTTCCACGGGCTTGCAGGGGTGTGTGCAGTGATTCCTGCCTAGGAAAAGGCATGAAGGCTTGAGTGCTGGCCTTTTCTTGACTACCACATGGCAATTAAAAACAGCCCTTCACATCTCAGTTTCAACTAGTCAAGACTGGGGGCAGAGTGTGCAGTCAATTGCAAATCTACATGTATATAAAAACCTGTTCTAGAGACCATTATACTAAGAGTGAAAAATGTCAAAGCCCTTCACCCTCAAATCCTAGCTTTGCAGGAACTTTGTGAGTAATTTTAAGTCTCTTCAACAAATTGTCTGTGCATCAAGATAACTATCTGTCCTGAGTGAGTCTGTGAAGACTTGGGAAAGACCACAGGGCAGAATGCTGGCCATTTCCTCTTCACCTTCTCTTACCATTCAAACCTCCCAACAAGGAGATGGCAGTCACTATGCTCCCTTTGCCTGTGTACTTCAGATTCGGGGCTGCTCTTCTGTGGCACTGAGATGAGAGGCAGCACTTATGACACCACTAGTCCTCCATAGATAGTGGTTATGGAGAAAACTTCTTGTATTGCCACCATATCTACCATTCATTCATTCAACACATTTTACATACCTGCTGTGTGTCAGGTGAGGAGAATACATTGGTGACTGACATATTATCTAACTGGTCCCCAAGCCCCCTACCCCACTTGTTTATCCTTCCCACAGATGCCAGAGTGATTTTTTTTAAAGCATGAGTAAGATAATGTCACCCTAACAACTGCCCACCCCACCACTCAGTATAACGGCCGGTGTCTCTCCAATGACCTGCAAGACTGCTCAGGCCTTCACTTCTATTACTTTCTGCTTCCTCTGCTCTTACCTTGCTGGCTTACTCAATGTTTGTAGAATGTTCCAGAAAAGCTCCTGTCTCAGCCTTTGCGCTTGCACTTCCTGTGACTTGAAGGCTTCCCTCTTAAGCATCCCAATAACCCACAATTAACACATTTTCTATATGTGAATTTTAACCTTTTTCAAGCCTTTGCTCAAATGCCACCTTCTCAGAGAGGTCTTCCAGCCATACCAAGGACTTTTTTTATTTTATTATTTTATTGTGAATTGAGTGAAAGTCTACAGGGCAGATGATCAGTTTTACATTCAACAAATCATATACTTTGTTTCATTACAATGATTATAATCCCCTCCATGTACCATCAGTTAACAGTATGTCTCTCTATTCATTTTAGCTCTTTTTTTTTAAAAGTTTTTATTTTGAATTATGTGTTAGTTTACATGGGTGAACATTATATTTACATTCATCCTATCATATTTTGTTTCATTGCAATGCTCACAATCCCCTGCATGCATCATTAAACAATCAAAGGGTACACCCCACACTCCCGTCCCCTGGCCGCCAGCACACAGCCCCTCTCTCTCCCTGAGTCCAGAGTCCCCAGCCGTTACTTGTGTCCACGTCATAGCCTCTGCCTCCATCTCTAGTGTCACTGCCTCCCCAGACAGGGTCTCACACTTTGCTTTTCTCCCTTGATGGTTCCAGGGATCTCTGCTCTTGGACTGCAAAATCAGTCACTCCCCTCCTTTTGTTACCAAACATTTACATTTACCTTTCCAACACTCACTGTCAGACTTGATAGCAGTCATTCCCTATTGAACCACAGGAGTCCTATACCTCTCACATTTTATCAACCCCATTCAGACAGGTTGGAAACAATTCCGTGGAGATTCTACCTTTCCCTGTATCCTCTGGAGTTAGGTTCCCTATTGAAAGCTTGTAAGCCAGTCACTTCTTGCCTTAGTAGTCCCCCCCATTTTGGGTAGCCAATGTCTAAGTTTCCCATCCCTGTTGACCCTGTGTACCAAGGGGGTGGGAATGATCCTCACTGTAGAGATTTATCTGCTCCTTTGTCATACTGCATCCACAAGCATAGGTCAAGTTCATCCACTTGTAGTGGGTTACTCTTTTTTACCCCCCTCTTCTTTCTTCCTCTAGTCATGTTATGATCATCCAGCCATTGATGCCAGGTCAAATGGGTACTATCTGCAAGTGTGGGTGTTCTTGTGCATCACCCCTCATTTTATATCACCTGGATGCTTCACACTCCATTCTAGTCCCCTGGGCCCAGGAGTCCCTAGGTCTTGTCATACTGTTTGTTAACCAGGTCAGACTTAGTTCACAACTTCATTGCTGTTGTCCCCCCACTTCCCCTTATCGGTGACCAATGTGGTCAGCAGCAGGACCATATGCCTGCCAGTGTATTCCATTTGAGTTTCAGTCTTGGAAGGGGGTTTGCCTTGAGGGGACCTGACCACCTGCCTTGATGGCTCCCTGGGGAACAACTTGCTTGTTCTTGCAGTAGTCTATTGGACTATTGTTATTATTATTTTTTCCCCTGCTGGTCTTTCTTTCAAGAAGCATCTTCTGTTCTTCTAGCTGCTCCAGACTAGTCTGCTTGTCCTTTCAAGTGGAAATGTCCCATCTCAGAAGATTCTGGATGGGGATCAGGATTCCAGCTATGGTCTTGTTCAATGCAAAGGCTCTGCACAGAGCCTCTTTCACTGGACAAGTTATAGCCCCATTTTAGGTATTTTAATCAGTTATAGGCTGAAGATGGACTTACAAGCTTTCTCTGGTGATGTTTTTGGCTATTCTTTTTTCTCCCCTTTAAGTGTCTATTTCATAATAGTAGGCAATGGAAACCAAGATTCAAAAGACAGCCAAGCATCTTAACATCATTTCCCCACTTTTACCCATTCAAACCATGGCTCAATCTTTGTATCCCCAATCCCTGTTGTTCCACGATTGTGCTTACATCGTTATTTACCTTTGTCCTATTTAGCCCATGTAAACCTGCCTAGCTCTTCTCCCATCCACTTTGTTTTTCCTTTCCACTTCCCCTTCTAGTGTAGCACCCAAACTATCCTGTGTCTATTCCCTACCCTGTGCTCTACCTTCCCCTCCGTCCCCTCACCCCAAACCCATATACCCCAGTAAGCAACAAAAATTTAAAAAAAAAAAAATTCCCCCTTTTAGTGGGGGTGCTTTTTTAAAATCTTTTACAATAATGGTCCTATGTTGTATTTCTCCTTTTGTGACTGACTAATTTCACTCAGTATAATGTCTTCAAGATTCATCCATGTTATGTGGTGGCTTGCTGCTTGTTATTCTTCAGGGGAGCATAATATTCCATTGTGTGTATGTACCAAAGTATGTTTATGTATTCTTCCATTGATGGGCACTTAGGCTGTCTCCATCTTTTTGCTATTGTAAATAGTGCTGCTATGAACATTAGTGTGCATATATACACTCGTGTTATGGCTCGTATTTCTGTGGATAAAAAGCAAGTAGTGAAATTGCTGGATCATAAAGTATCTCTATTTCCAACCTTCTGAGAAAGCACCATATTGTTTATCAGAATGGTTGGACCATTTTGCAATCCCACCAGCAATGTAAGATAAAAAATTCTCTACTTTTTTGATCTTTGCTATTATTGCTGGTGTGAGATGGTATCTCGTTGTTTTGATTTGCATCTCTCCAATGGCTAGTGAACATGAACATTTCTTCATATGTTTGTTGGCTGCCCAGATCTCCTCCATGGTGAAGAGTTTATTCATGTCCTCTGTCTATATTTTAATTGGGTTATTTGTCCTTTTCTTGTAGAGGTGTTGTAAGTTCCTATATATTTTGGAAATTAATCCCTTGGCTGATGTGTCATTGCAAAATATGTTTTCCCATTCTGTGGGGTCCATTTTTGTTCTTTTGATGAAGTCTTTTGGTGCACATAGTTTTAAATTTTTAGTATGCCTCAATCATCTATTTTGTCTACTTTTGTTTGTATAATTTTCAAAATGCTTGGTAGTCTGTGTATGCCCTGTATTAGAGCCCTCACATTTGTCCTTATTTTTTCATTGATGGCCTTTGTAATTCTGGGATTGACATTTAGGTCTTTAATCTATGCTGAGTTGGTTTTTGTATAAGGTGTGAGATACAGGTCTTGTTTCACCCTTTTGCATATCGCTTTCCAATTCTGCCAGCACATCTGTTGAAAAGACTATCTTCTCCCCATGCAATATATATTTAGGTACTTTGTCAAAAATCAATTGGCTGCATGTGGATGGGTTAATTTCTGGATTCTTAATTCTGTTCCGTTGATCAATGTATCTTTCATTATACCAGTACTAGGCTGTTTTGACCACTATAGCAGTATAGTAAAATTTGAAATCAGGAAGTGAGAGGCTTCCTACCTTGTTCTTCTTCTTAATTAGTGCTTTGCTTATCCTGGGTCTCTTTCCTTTCCATTAAAAGTTTGTAATTGATTTTTCCTTTTCTTTGAAGAATATCATTGGAATCTGGATTGGGATTACATTATATGTGTAAATTGTTTTGGGCAGTATTGACATTTTCACAATGTTAAGTCTTCCTATCTAGGAGTAGGGTATTTTCTTCTGTTTTTGCAAGTCTCTTTTGGTTTCTTGTAGTAGTGTTCTGTAGTTTTCTTTGTATAGGTCCTTTGTTTCTCTGGTTACATTTATTCCTAGCTATTTCATCCTTTGGATGGCTATTGTAAATGGTATTGTTTTCCTAATGTTCTTTTCAGCACTGTCCTTATTAGTATACAGGAATCCAACTAATTTTTGGATGTTGATCTTATACCCTGTCACTTTGCTGAATCCTCCAACGATGTCTAGTCACTTTTTTACTGAGTCTTTGGGGTTTATAGATATAGAATCATATCGTCTGCAAATAGAAAGAGTTTGACTTCCTCTTTCCAATTCGGGTGCTTTGATTTCCCTATTTTGACATATAGCTCTGGCTAAGACCTCGAGCACAATATTGAATAGGAGTGGTGACAAAGGGCATCCTTGTCTGGTTCCTGTTGGCAGAGGAAAGGCTTTCAGTTGCTCTCCATTGAGAGTAATGTAGGCTGTTGGTTTTGTATATATGCTCTTGATTACGTTGAGGAATTTCCCTTCAATTCCTACTTTGTTGAGTGTTTTTATCAGGAATGGATGTTGGATTTTGTCAAATGCCTTTGCTGCATCAATCAGTATGTTCTGTTTTCTTGTTTATATGGTGGATTATAATTGGTTGTTTTTCTGATGTTGAACCATCCTTGCATCCCAGATATGAATCCTACTTGTTCATGATGTATTATTTTTTTGATGTGCTGCTGGATTCTGTTGTCTAGGATTTTGTTGAGAATTTTTGCATCTATGTTCATGAGGGATATTGGTCTATAATTTTTTTCATAGTGACGTCCTTCCCTGGTTTTGGTGTGAGGGTTATGCTTGCTTTATAAAATGTATTAGGAAGTTTTCCATCCTCCTGTATATTCTGGAATAATTTGAGTAGAATTGGTGACAACTTTTCCCTGAATGACTGCTAGAACTTACCAGTGAAGCCATCTGAACCTGGACTTTTTTTTTTTTTAATTTTTTATCTTTTAACTCCATTTTTTTTTTAAATAAATGTTTTATTGTGAATTGTGTGATAGACTACATGGGAGAACATTTGTTTTACATTCATTCTATCATCTATCGTTTCATTGGCATAGTTACCATCCCGTCCATGCATCCTCACCCAACCAAAGGGTGTACCCTGTAAGCCTGCACACACCCCCCACCACCACCACAGTCCTCAGCCCCTTTCCCTCTCCGGATCCCAAGTCCCCAGCCACATCATCTCTTGATGTCGTCTTCTCTGCCTCCATCTCAGGCCTCACTGCTTTTCTGGGTAGGATCCCGCTCTCCTCTTTTCTCTATTGATGATGGTCCTAGGGTCCTCCGCTCCTAGACTGAAAAGTTAATAACTCCCCTCCTTGCTACAAAATGTCCACCTTTAGATTTCCAAACCTCATAATCAGTCTTGATAACAATTATTCACTATTGCATCACAAGAGACCCATCTGTATTTCATTTCATCAGCCCTTCCTGGACAGGCTGGATACTATTCACTGAGACTCTACCTTCCTCCACGCCCTTTGGATCAAGGTTCCCTCTTGAAAGCTTGTAAACCAGTCACTTCTTACCTTTGTATCCCTCCCCCCATTTGGGGTAGCCAATGTCCAAGTTGCCCATCCCTTTGTGTGGAGGGGGTGGGAATAGTTGGGAGTGTCCAAGTTGCCACAACCTTTGTGTGGAGGGGGTGGGAATAGTTCTTGCAGCAGGGATTTGTTTCCTCTTTTGAGCTACTGCATTTATAGGTGTAGGTCATGTTTATCGAATTGTATCACATGGCGCTTTTTTCCTCTTCTTTCTTCTTCAGGTTGAGCTCTGTTTATCAAGTCATTGAAGCCAGGTCAAGTAGGTATCATCTGCAAGTGTGGGTGTTCTTGCGTCTGTCCACCCTCTTTTTATACGCTGACTGACCCGCTCTCCATTCTAGTCCTCTGTGGTTGTGTCATTGACTCTGAGCCCATGAGTCCCCAGGTCTTGCCTCATTGCTGGCCGACCAGGTCTCCACCCGGGTTCACAGTACTTTGCTGAACGATGTAGAGCTTAGCTCGCCACTTCATTGATGTTCTTTAGTCACTTCTCCTTCTGGGTGATGTGCGTGGTTGACAATCAAAGCGTATATTTCCCTTGCGTCTTAGTTTTGGAAGAGAATTTGCACTGAGAGGACCCGACCACTTGCCTTGATGTCTCCTGGGCAAGCAACATGCATGTTCTTGTGGTAACAGTCGGACTGCCCTTATTGTTTTGTATTTTTCCTGTAGGTCCTTCTTTCAGGAAGTATCTTCTGGTTTTCTAGCTGCTCTCAGCTGGTCTGCTTGTCCTTTCAAGTGGAAAATTTCCCATCTCTGAAGGTCTGGATGTGGTTTGGGCTTCCACCTATACTCCCATGTACTGCAGAGGCTCCTCAGGAAACCTCCTTCACTGGACACACTGTAGCCCCATTTTAGGTATTCCAATCAGTTATAGGCAGAAGACGGGCTTATAAGCTTTCCATGTTGATATTTCTGGTTATTCCTTTCTCTCCCACTCCAGTGTCTGTTTTATAATATTGAACCTGGACTTTTTTTGGTTGGG